ACATACATGGGTCATTGTTACGATGTAGGTACGTACATGGGTCATTGTTACGATGTAGGTACATACATAGGCCATTGTTACGATGTAGGTACATACATGGGTCATTGTTACGATGTAGGTACGTACATGGGTCATCGTTACGATGTCCGTACGTACTTGGGCCAGTATTACAATGTACGTACATACATGTGTTATTGTTACGATGTACGTACATACATGTGTCATTGTTACGATGTACGTACATACATATGTTATTGTTACGATGTACGTACATACATGGGTCAGTATTACGATTTTTGTACATACATGTGTCATTGTTACGATATAAGTACAAACATGGGTCATTGCTACGATGTACGTACATGCATGGGTCATTGTTACGATGTACGTAAATGCATGTGTCAGTGTTATGATGTCCGTACTCACATGTGTCTTTTTTACTATCTACGTACATACATGTTGTATTGCTACGATGTAGGTACATACATGGGTCAGTGTTACGATGTACGTACATACATGTGTCAGCGTGACGATGTACGTACATACATATGTTACGATGTACGTACATTACATGTGTTATTGTTACGATGTAGGTACATACATGTGTCATTGTTACGATGTCCGTACGTACTTGGGCCAGTATTACAATGTACGTACATACATGTGTTATTGTTACGATGTACGTACATACATGTGTCATTGTTACGATGTACGTACATACATATGTTATTGTTACGATGTACGTACATACATGGGTCAGTATTACGATTTTTGTACATACATGTGTCATTGTTACGATATAAGTACAAACATGGGTCATTGCTACGATGTACGTACATGCATGGGTCATTGTTACGATGTACGTAAATGCATGTGTCAGTGTTATGATGTCCGTACTCACATGTGTCTTTTTTACTATCTACGTACATACATGTTGTATTGCTACGATGTAGGTACATACATGGGTCAGTGTTACGATGTACGTACATACATGTGTCAGCGTGACGATGTACGTACATACATATGTTACGATGTACGTACATTACATGTGTTATTGTTACGATGTAGGTACATACATGTGTCATTGTTACGATGTACGTACATACATGTGTCAGCGTTACGATGTACGTACATACATGTATTGTTGTTACGATGTACGGACATACATGGGTCATTGTTACGATGTACGTACATATATGTGTCATTGTTACGATGTACGTACATACGTGTGTCGTTGTTACGATGAACGTACATACATGGGTCATTGTTACGATGTACGTACATGCATGTGGCAGTGCCACGATGTACGCAGTAGTGAGATCTTTTCTATGCAATCCACACAGAAAACGGATATATTCCCGCAATGTGAGTCATTAATTTCGACAATCAATATGTAACGGCTCAGCTGTATTTTAATACGAGCAAATGTGTAAACCTGAAGCGTGGAATCGGAAACAAGAAAGACGATTCAAAAGAATAGTTTGCATATTCAATAGTCAATCTAAAAGCAAAGTTTATATAGCGTTCATTGATCGCTCTGCTTTTGTCAGTGGAAGTGATCTTCTCAACCTACACACATGAAACAAAATGAGCTTTCATCACCAATCCTCGCTTGTTGGAACTCGGGATTGACCCAGCTGTCTACACCTCCGCCTGTTAGCAGGAAATAGACGAGTTCGAATCCCAGATTAGCCCTGGTTAGAAAAAGTAAGAGTACTAATGATTTGAAAAGGAAAAGTTAATTGCCCGAATGTTTGCCTTATCAGAAAGTGTAATTTCTCGACTGTGGGACAAGCATCGTCAAACGGGTAGGGCTACAAAAACTGGTTGGATCCTAGGTACACCTTGCATAACAGGATTGAATAGGTTGGCTCTTTCCTCCACCCTATTGGTAATACGCAGACTAATCACCCATCCTACTGTAGTTTCAAACCAGGAGATTCAAGCGGTGTTGCCAGTATGTTGCACATATCGATCTGCATCTTCACATTACTTCTGTAAATGGTTTGATAGTCTGTCTAGTGTATAATTGTATTTTGTTTGGCCAGGTAAATGTTATACACATTGTCACGTGTGTCAACTGTCTGGGTGACGTGTGTGTGATGTATCATGGACGTATGTATCACTTTGCCCCACATGTGATCGTATCCTGAATGTGTTCTTGTTCCTTGTGTGACTACCAGTATACCTTACGTGATCGTATCCTGAATGTGTTCTTGTCCCCAGTGTGACTACCAGTATCCTTTACGTGATCGTATCCTGAATGTGTTCTTGTTCCCATTGTGACTACCAGTATCCTTTACGTGATCGTATCCTGAATGTGTTCTTGTTCCCATTGTGTCCTGAATGTGACTACCAGTATCCTTTACGTGATCGTATCCTGAATGTGTTCTTGTTCCCATTGTGACTACCAGTATCCTTTACGTGATCGTATCCTGAATGTGTTCTTGTTCCCATTGTGACTACCAGTATCCTTTACGTGATCGTATCCTGAATGTGTTCTTGTTCCCATTGTGACTACCAGTATCCCGTACGTGATCGTATCCTGAATGTGTCCTTGTTCCCATTGTGACTACCAGTATCCCGTACGTGATCGTATCCTGAATGTGTTCTTGTTCCCAGTGTGTCTACCAGTATCCCGTACGTGATCGTATCCTGAATGTGTTCTTGTCCCCAGTGTGTCTACCAGTATCCCTTACGTGATCGTATCCTGAATGTGTTCTTGTTCCTAGTGTGTCTACCAGTATCCCGTACGTGATCGTTTCCTGAATGTGTTCTTGTTCCCAGTGTGTCTACCAGTATCCCGTACGTGATATATATAAATATCCTATCCTGAATGTGTTCTTGTTCCTAGTGTGTCTACCAGTATCCCGTACGTGATCTTATCCTGAATGTGTTCTTGTTCCCAGTGTGTCTACCAGTATCCCGTACGTGATCGTATCCTTAATGTGTTCTGGTTCCCAGTGTGTCTACCAGTATCCCGTACGTGATCGTTTCCTGAATGTGTTCTTGTCCCCAGTGTGTCTACCAGTATCCCGTACGTGATCGTATCCTGAATGTGTTCTTGTTCCCAGTGTTTCTACCAGTATCCCGTACGTGATCGTTTCCTGAATGTGTTCTTGTCCCCAGTGTGACTACCAGTATCCCGTACGTGATCGTATCCTGAATGTGTTCTTGTTCCTAGTGTGACTACCAGTATCCCGTACGTGATCGTATCCTGAATGTGTTCTTGTTCCTAGTGTGACTACCAGTATACCTTACGTGTTCTTGTTCCCAGTGTGACTACCAGTATCCCGTACGTGATTGTATCGTGAATGTGTCCCAGTACTTACTGTGTTTTGTCCTTTGTATCTGTCTGTCAAGCGTTTGTATTACCCCTTATGTCAGTTTGCACTTGATGTGTCTCTATCTTTTTTGTTGGAACTATGAGTTCGTCCCTAGTTTAAGTTCGTCCCTACCCATGTGTCTGTGAAGTTTACGTTCGTCCCCACCCATGTGTCTGTGAACTCTCCGTTCGTCCCCACCCATGTGTCTGTGAACTCTCCGTTCGTCCCCACCCATGTGTCTGTGAACTCTCCGTTCGTCCCCACCCCCAGTTTGTTACCAGTGCATATATCTCAGTATAGCTTTGTTTTGGCTCGGTTGACGAAGTCTGATCAGCTCGCTAAACTGCAACACCGCAGATTTACGAAGTGTAATAAACTCGTAAATCGACAAATAAAGTCTGTCCTGTTGTGACACGAGAAGACAAATTTAATCTTGATAAACCGTCAATGTTATTACTTGAAACAAAGATAATTAATCTGCCGGTCAGAGACATATTAGTTCTATTTCTTAACAAGATGTGAGCGGCGACATTTATGAACTAATGGAATCTGGAAACTCCTGAAATGTTTAGTCGCTGTATGTAGACGGTTATTGTTTGGGGTTAACACTGACAGACATTGTTGGAGTTCAACGTTGACAGGTGTTGTCTCGGGTCACGTGAGGGGTACATTTTGTCATAGTTCACGTGATGTGTGAGAAATGACTGAGATGTGAGAGTATGGAATGTTGCTGGTACCTGTTACAATCAAACTGTCGGTACCTAGGTACTGCCCATACAACAAGAACCGGAACAGGCAACATTCACGTCAAGGAACAAACTCAAAAGAATCCGACGATATACTGGCCGTTTGTTTCTCGGTTTATCACGAAATTGATGCCATAACGGATTTATACAATTATATTTGGATAAATAATGTACAGATTCTCAAAATGAATTGAAAATGTAATAAAATTAAAGTTACAATTTATAGAGTAGTTTTGGAATAATAAGGTTACGAAGACACTTATTGCTGTATATTCGGTGTGTAGTACAACTGTGTCCACTGTGTAGGAATGTATTAATCATTGTCTGTAAATCTTACCCAACTACAAACGATCATTTAAACATGCTACTTCCTTTCGATGTTAACATGCATTTGAAACAGTTAAACATTAAGGAGTTCATATTCTAGAAGTGTATCTAGTCTGTAGACTAGGGTTTGCAGTTTAAGCGTATGATTGTGTGTAATGATACTGAGTGCTGACAACATTAAGCGAGTCACTTTAACCTTGGACATTAGCTTGAGCAAATCCACATCCGAAATGTCAGTCCCGTCGCCGGGCGAGAAATGTTAATACGGTCTTAGGAAAGCATTCTGTGAGAAGTCGACTGGTTTATGCCAGGTTTATCTATATGTTTCTCCACAAACACGGAAGCCTCTTTCAACCATTTTCTTAATTATGAATATTTTTTGTGTCAGTTTTTGTGGTCTTAAAATACCTGGATTTACCTGCTTAAAATTTTCATGAAATCTGTAACACAGTTTCTTTTGATCGTGATTTAGATGTTCTCAATCTCGACCATATGACCTTATAAGGATAGTCGTGGGATGCGGTCTGTGGAAATGGTTTGTGTGGGTATCGTGGACTGGAGCTCTCCACTAGTGCTTTAGACTGTGTCGGGTGTGTTGCAGAACGAGTACCTTCAAATGGTGGAACAGTGTATGAACTTCGCCTGTGAGCTGATGGACTTGTGTCGGGGCACACAGGAGGTGGAGGCGGTGCTCAGTGAGAGTGGGGAGACAACCCAGAGAGACCCCCTCGCCAGACTCAAACAGGCCATTCGGTATGAGGAGAAGAAGGTAGGTGGAGCGTCAAACGAGGTAGCAGTCTTCCACTATAGACAGACAGGTGGTGACGTACAGACCGAACATACAGATGGACAAACCGCTGTTGATTTACAAAACGAAAGACGAAGGACATTCACATTGACAAACCAATATATGCATATGGAGCGAAATACAGGGCCATCAGCTTGACATACAGATGTTGGCATACAGAGCGCCATATAGGGGCCATTAGACGGACAAACAGATGTTGGCATACAGAGCGCCATGTAGGGGCCACTAGACGGACAAACAGATGTTGGCATACAGAGCGCCATGTAGGGGCCATTAGACGGACAAACAGATGTTGGCATACCGAGCGCCATGTAGGGGCCATTAGACGGACAAACAGATGTTGGCATACAGAGTGCCATGTAGTGGGCATTAGATGGATATACAGAGCGCCATAAAGGGGCCATTAGACGGACAAACAGATGTTGGCATACAGAGCGCTATATAGGAGCCATTAGACGGACAAACAGATGTTGGCATACAGAGCGCCATTTATGGGCCATTAGACAGACAAACAGATGTTGGCATACAGAGCGCCATACAGGGGCCATTAGACAGACAAACAGATGTTGGCATACCGAGCGCCATGTAGGGGCCATAAGACGGACAAACAGATGTTGGCATACAGAGCGCTATATAGGAGCCATTAGACGGACAAACAGATGTTGGCATACAGAGCGCCATTTATGGGCCATTAGACAGACAAACAGATGTTGGCATACAGAGCGCCATACAGGGGCCATTAGACAGACAAACAGATGTTGGCATACCGAGCGCCATACAGGGGCCATTAGACGGACATACATGGGACAGTAATTCAGCAGAATTATAGGATAGATGGGTGGCCAATGCGTTTCTCGTTGTTCCGAAAGCAGGATCCGATTCTGCGCATGTGTGGACTGTGTCTAACGACCATTTCAGGTGTGCCCCGCTTATTGCTTTAATGCTAAAAGCGACATACCGTACAACCAGAAATTATTGAGAAATTAGAGATTGTAAATTTGTTTATTTTTTTCACTCATTACTCACGTATTAAATGTGAATATTAGCAGAACATAACTCCAGATTCAAAGACAGGTGAACAGTTAGCATTTTGTCAAGTCACCATAGGCAGCAATGCAGGCTACAATGCGGCGGGGCATACTAATGATCAAAGAAGTTAGAAAGTCGTGGTCCATGCTGTCCCAATATCGGACCACCTCTTCTTTCATTTCAGCAATATTTGTCAGATTTTTCTTATTGACACTTTCCTTCATAAGTCCCCAAACATTTTCTATTGGATTTAGGTCAGGGCTATAGTTTGGCCAATCTAATAATGTCATATTTTGGGTCCGAAACCAGGCCTGTGAATGCTTTGAACGATGTATTGGGTCGTTGTCCTGCTGGAAAATAAAAAAAAGTCCATAGAACACGTGAGCAGATGAAGTAAATGTCCCTCGAGAATATCTGTGTACCGCTCACTCTTCATATTCCCTTCAAATACACAGATAACACAGATATGCCACCCCACACGTTAAATTTCGGACTGTACTTTGGGCGCTGATACAAAGGTGTTTCAGTTTGTTTGGTCCAGAATTTCAGTGTATTAGGAAACAGCCACACAGAACTTTCATCTGAGAAAATCACATTGTCCCAGTTAAAATTTCTCTGCTGTAAGCACCAGTTCAACCTTCGCTCCTTTTGTTCAGGTTTCATGATCGGTGATGGAATTCCTCGACTTTTCTGCCAACCCATTGCATGCAGCTCACTTCTAATTGTCTGCGTACAGACAGCCACAGTTTCTCTATCAATCATATCCAGGATTACGTTTTCTAAACTCCTTCGTTTGTTTTTTAGAAACAAGAATACCAAGCCGCCTCCTGTCACCGACAGTCAATTTTCCGGGCCTCCCTGCGCCTCCCTGGTGCTCAATGTCATATCCATTTGCAATATTTTTCAAAACACGATAAACAGTAGACAAAGGGATGCCTGTTCTACTTGAAATCACTTTAGCTGATCTGATGTCCTTGTTATAATACTCTAAAATCAACTTCCTCTTCTCTAAATCATCCATACTGAGGATCACTGAAAATGTCGTCTGCTAGCAAGTAAACAAAGGGGGATAACTCTTCACAAACTAATGACAAAGGATTAACGGAGTTGCCTCTCTTGAATGAAACCAAGCACTTGATAGCTGGTCAAGGTTGTTTATACTAGAAATCCAATTAAACATATTCCTAAAATTCTCGATAATTTCTGGTCATACTATAAATCCATACTTACTCTCTCAGATGAACAAACGAGTGTTGGCATACAGAGCTCCATACAAGGGGAATTCCTTACAGGGAGTATACGTCATGTACTTGGGATGCGATACGATAAAAGGATTAATCTGCACTGACAGTCATGACGCTATGCCATGATTTTAGGTACCAACAGTCGAAACGCCATAGGGGAATATAGGTGTTGACGGTAGATACTCCCTACCGGGAATATAGGTGTTGACAGTAGATACTCCCTACAAGGAATACAGGTGTTGACGGTAGATACTCCCTACAGGAAATATAGGTATTGACGGTAGATACTCCCTACAGGGAATATAGGTATTGACAGTAGATACTCCCTACAGGGAATATAGGTGTTGACAGTAGATACTCCCTACAGGAAATATAGGTATTGACAGTTGATACACCCTACAGGGAATATAGGTGTTGACAGTAGATACTCCCTACAGGAAATATAGGTATTGACAGTTGATACACCCTACAGGGAATATAGGTGTTGACAGTAGATACTCCCTACAGGAAATATAGGTATTGACAGTTGATACACCCTACAGGAAATATAGGTATTGACGGTAGATACTCCCTACAGGGAATATAGGTATTGACAGTAGATACTCCCTACAGGGAATACAGGTGTTGACGGTAGATACTCCCTACCGGGAATATAGGTACTGACAGAAGATACTCCCTACAGGGAATATACGTATTGACAGTAGATACTCCCTACAGGGAATATAGGTACTGACAGTAGATACTCCCTACCGGGAATATAGGTACTGACAGAAGATACTCCCTACAGGGAATATAGGTATTGACAGAAGATACTCCCTACAGGGAATATAGGTGTTGACAGTAGATACTCCCTACCGGGAATATAGGTATTGACAGTTGATACACCCTACAGGGAATACAGGTGTTGACGGTAGATACTCCCTACCGGGAATATAGGTACTGACAGAAGATACTCCCTACAGGGAATATACGTATTGACAGTAGATACTCCCTACAGGGAATATAGGTACTGACAGTAGATACTCCCTACCGGGAATATAGGTACTGACAGAAGATACTCCCTACAGGGAATATAGGTATTGACAGTAGATACTCCCTACAGGGAATACAGATGTTGACGGTAGATACTCCCTACAGGGAATATAGGTACTGACAGAAGAGACAGTATACAGTATACAGAGAATACAGGTACTGACAGAAGAGACAGTGTACAGTATACAGAGAATACGGGTACTGACAGATGATACAGTATACAGTATACAGTGAATACAGGTACTGACAGATGATATAGTATACAGAGAATATAGGTACTGACAGAAGAGACACTATTCAGGGAATCTAGGTACTGACAGAAGAGACACTATACAGAGAATATAGGTACTGACAGAAGAGACACTATATAGAGAATATAGGTACTGACAGAAGAGACACTATATAGAGAATCTAGGTACTGACAGAAGAGACACTATACAGAGAATATAGGTACTGACAGAAGAGACACTATATAGAGAATATAGGTACTGACAGAAGAGACACTATATAGAGAATATAGGTACTGACAGAAGACTGACTTACTGACTGAGTTTGGTTTTACGCCGCTTTTAGCAATATTCCAGCAACATAACGGCGGGGGACACCAGAAATGGGCTTCACACATTGTGCCCATGTGGGGATTCGAACTCGGGTCTTCGGCGTGACGAGCCAACGCTTTAACCACTAGGCTACCCCACCGCCCACTGACAGAAGAGACACTATACAGGGAATATAGGTACTGACAGAAGAGACAGTATACAAAGAATATAGGTACTGACAGAAGAGACAGTATACAGAGAATATAGGTACTGACAGAAGAGACACTATACAGAGAATATAGGTACTGACAGAAGAGACAGTATACAGAGAATAAAGGTACTGACAGAAGAGACACTATACAGAGAATATAGGTACTGACAGTCGAAACTGCTGAAATGCTATACAAAATGCGTAGAAAACAAAATTTTCTGACTGGGCCTGCACACACAATTTCATACGGTGGATCTAACAAAATAACCTCCCACAGTTTACACCTTTCCCGTCCCTCCCTCCTCGGGTCCCGTGTTCATGCCTGACTGGCTTCCCGTTACCCTAGCTGACAGGCGCGGCACCGAGTTGAGGCCATTTATCTGTGGAGATCTCCTGGTGCACAATCAATACTCAGGGATTACTGTTATCACAAGAGTGAAATATAGTCTCTTCTCCGTCCCGTGCTCCTCGGCGCGCTCACGGTGCTACACATACTCGCTGATAATACAACTTCTTTAATAACATTTCTATTTCTTACCCCAAAAAAACGAAAATTCGATGTTCGCTGAAGAAGAGTGAATTTGGCTGTGCATATGATTTGTCATAGAGAGAACAGTAATCAACTGGTTGAGCCCTGACTGGAGAGGCTAGCTGAAGACAAACACAGGCTGATTGTTGCAGTAAGAACACAATCACTTGATGAAGTGAGTTGAAATGGCTGTAAATGAAAACAGTTCATCATAAGCCCGACCTTATTCTGCCCTGAACGTTCCTCATACACTTTTTCAAATTCGATTTTTATCTTGATCAACTTTGCCTGACATGTCTGTAAGTAGGCAATAATTGGATGCTGTTTAGGGGCCTAGTGCAACTTTATTAGGGAATTCGATGGGCACAATGACAAAAAGTGTCATTTAGTGCATACAAATGGCGTTTTCCAATATGGAGTGTTTTATGGGGACCGACAGATAGTCAATTGGTATAATATATGGTTCAGACACCGTCAACTAGTGACTTGTTGGTTGATATATGCCAATCACCGACAGATACTCAGTATTGTGTTATACATACCAGGCACCAACAGATAGTCACTATTGTGTTATACATACCAGGCACCGACAGCTAGTCACTATTGTGTTATACATACCATGAACCGACAGCTAGTCACTATTGTGTTATACATACCAGGCACCGACAGATAGTCACTATTGTGTTATACATACCATGAACCGACAGCTAGTCACTATTGTGTTTTACATACCAGGCACCGACAGCTAGTCACTATTGTGTTATACATACCAGGCACCAACAGATAGTCACTATTGTGTTATACATACCATGAACCGACAGCTAGTCACTATTGTGTTATACATACCAGGCACCGACATATAGTCACTATTGTGTTATACATAATAGGCACCAAGAGATAGTCACTATTGTGTTATACATACCATGGACCGACAGCTAGTCACTATTGTGTTATACATACCATGAACCAACAAATAGTCATTATTGTGTTATACAGCTGGCAATAGCTAGTCACGGGTGGTATATAGACCCGATATCGCCAGCTATTCACGTGTTTTTTCATGTACACCAGACACAGACAGCTTATTACGTAAGATGTTATACATACCTCAGACACAAATAGTCGTTACGTGGGTTGTAATATACAGAAGACACAGACAGGTAGTTACGTCTGTTGTTATATATATTAGACACAGACAGGTAGTTACGTGGGTTGTAATATACAGCAGACACAGACAGGTAGTTACGGGGATTGTAATGTACAGAAGACACAAATAGTTCGTTACGTGTGTTGTAATATATAGCAGACACAGACAGGTAGTTACGGGGGTTGATATATACAGCAGACACAGACAGGTAGTTACGTAGGTTATAATATACGGCAGACACAGACAGGTAGTTGAGGGAGTTGTAATATATATCAACACAGACAGGTAGTTACGTGGGTTGTAATATACAGCAGACACAGACTGGTAGTTACGTAGGTTATTATATACAGCAGACACAGACAGGTAGTTGAGGGAGTTGAAATATATATCAACACAGACAGGTAGTTAAGGGGGTTGTAATATATATCAGACACAGACAGGTAGTTACGGAGGTTGTAATATATATCAGACACAGAAAGGTAGTTACGTGGGTTGTAATATACAGCAGACACAGACAGGTAGTTGAGGGAGTTGAAATATATATCAGACACAGACAGGTAGTCACGTGGGTTGTCATATAGCAGACACAGACAGGTAGTACTACGGGGGTTGTAATATATATCAGACACAGACAGGTTGTTTCGTGTGTTGTAATATATAGCAGACACAGACAGGTAGTTACGGGGGTTGTAATTTATATCAGACACAGACATGTAGTTACGTGGGTTGTAATATATAGCAGACAAAGGCCGGTAGTTACGTGGGTTGTAATAATGAAGACAAACAAAGACAGCTTGTCAGATGTTGTGCAGATACAGGCAGCTGATCCTCTGTATGTGATATATTTGACAAACACCTATTCTAGTGTTTTCCCACTATTGGCAGTGCTGTTGTTTATGTTTATTGTTTGCCGTGTTTGTGTCTTCAGTTCGTGGCCCACCCCAACTGCCAGCAGCACATGACCAGCATCTGGTACGGCTCTGAGATGGGATTCTTGCAGTCGCTCGGCTGGTTCCGCAAACTCATATATCTCATCCTCTTCCTTCCCGCCATTCCATTCATGTGTATAGCATATGTCTTCGCGCCTAACATCAAGGTGAGTTGTGAATTCATGAGTATCATATTGTTTATAGCTTTATCCATGTCTTCTTGCCTTATACCAAGGTGGGTCATGAATCCAGGAGTAATATCTTGTATATAGCCTGTGTTTTCTTGCCTTATACCAAGGTGGATCATGAATCCAGGAGTAATATCTCGTTTATAGCCTGTGTGTTCTTGTCTTATACCGAGGTGGGTCATGAATCAAGGAGTAATATCTTGTATATAGCCTGTGTGTTCTTGTCTTATACCAAGGTGGGTCATGAATCAAGGAGTAATATCTTGTATGTAGCCTGTGTGTTCTTGCCTTACACCAAGGTGGATCATGAATCCAGGAGTAATATCTCGTTTATAGCCTGTGTGTTCTTGTCTTATACCGAGGTGGGTCATGAATCAAGGAGTAATATCTTGTATATAGCCTGTGTGTTCTTGCCTTATACCAAGGTGGGTCATGAATCCAGGAGTTATATCTTGTATATAGCCTGTGTCTTCTTGTCTTATACCAAGGTGGGTCATGAATCAAGGAGTAATATCTTGTATATAGCCTGTGTGTTCTTGCCTTACACCAAGGTGGATCATGAATCCAGGAGTAATATCTCGTTTATAGCCTGTGTCTTCTTGCCTTATACCAAGGTTGGTCATGAATCCAGGAGTAACATCTCGTTTATAGCCTGTGTCTTCTCGCCTTACACCAAGGTTGGTCGTGAATCCAGAAGTAACATTTTGTATATAGCCTGTGTCTGCTCGCCTTAAACCAAGGTTGGTCGTGAATCGAGGAGTAACATCTCGTTGATAGCCTGTGTCTTCTCGCCCATACCAAGGTTGGTCGTGAATCCAGGAGTAATATCTTTTTTATAGCCTGTGTCTTCTCGTCTCATACCAAGGTTGGTCGTGAATCCAGGAGTAACATCTTGTATATAGCCTGTGTCTTGCCTTATGCCAAGGTTGGTCGTGAATCCGGGAGTAACATCTTGTTTATAGCCTGTGTCTTGCCTTATGCCAAGCTTGGTCGTGAATCCAGGAGTAACATCTCGTATACAGCCTATGTCTTCTCGCCTTATATCAAGGTGAGATATGGATTTAAATGGAACCTAGGTCTCCTTCCTTGCCTCTGCCGTGAGGATTCAGAGTAAAAAAATCTGATTTCCTCATGCTTGTCATGAGAGCCGACTGCAGTGGTATCGGGCAGTCTAGGGCTGTGAGATTGTTGATTACATGTCTTGGTATCCGGATAAGGCAGTCATGTGTGTATACATGTAGTATACAACTACACGCTCTAATTTAGGTTGAAGAGACGATTGGTGGGTTATGTGGTTGCAACGATTGCCTATCGAACCTCAAGGCACTGGGGTCTACTTTTAACATCCATCTGAATAATTGTCTGTTCTATACAAGGTTGGGTTCTTTCGACATTCATCCAGTTATATAATGTATGTGTGATATGTATCCAGTTATATAATGTATGTGTGATATGTATCCAGTTATATAATGTATGTGTGATATGTATCCAGTTATATAATGTATGTGTGATATGTATCCAGTTATATAATGTATGTGTGATATGTATCCAGGTATATAATGTATGTGTGATATGTATCCAGTTATATAATGTATGTGTGATATGTATCCAGGTATATAATGTGTGTGATATGTATCCAGTTATATAATGCATGTGTGATATGTATCCAGTTATATAATGTATGCGTGATATGTATCCACTTATATAATGTGTGTGTGATATGTATCCAGTTATATAATGTATCTGTGATATGTATTCGGTTATATCGTATATGCGTGATCTGTATCCAGTTAAACCGTGTATGCGTGATATGTATCCAGTTATATAATGTATGTGTGATATGTATCCAGTTAGATAATGCATGTGTGATATGTATCCAGTTACATAATGTATGTGTGATATGTATCCAGTTGTATAATGTATGTGTGATCTGTATCTAGTTGTATAATGTATGCGTGATATGTATCCAGTTATATCGTGTATGCGTGATCTGTATCCAGTTATATCGTGTATGCGTGATCTGTATCCAGTTATATAATGTATGTGTGATATGTATCCAGTTGTATAATGTATGCGTGATCTGTATCCAGTTATATCGTGTATGCGTGATCTGTATCTAGTTATATCGTGTATGCGTGATCTGTATACAGTTATATCGTGTATGCGTGATCTGTATCCAGTTATATCGTGTATGCGTGATCTGTATCCAGTTATATCGTGTATGCGTGATCTGTATCCAGTTATATCGTGTATGCGTGATATGTATCCAGTTATATAATGTATGTGTGATATGTATCCAGTTATATAATGTATGCGTGATCTGTATCCAGTTATATCGTGTATGCGTGATCTGTATTCAGTTATATCGTGTATGCGTGATCTGTATCCAGTTATATCGTGTATGCGTGATATGTATCCAGTTATATAATGTATGTGTGATCTGTATCCAGTTATATCGTGTATGCGTGATATATATCCAGTTATATAATGTATGTGTGATATGTATCTAGTTATATCGTCTATGCGTGATCTGTATCCAGTTATATCGTGTATGCGTGATATGTATCCAGTTATATAATGTATGTGTGATATGTATCTAGTTATGTCGTGTATGCGTGATATGTATCCAGTTATATAATGTATGTGTGATATGTATCTAGTTATATAATGTATGTGGGATATGTATCCAGTTATATAATGTATGTGTGATCTGTATTCGGTTATATCGTGTATGCGTGATCTGTATCCAGTTATATCGTGTATGCGTGATATGTATCCCGTTGTATAATGTATGTGTGATCTGTATTCGGTTATATCGTGTATGCGTGATCTGTATCCAGTTATATCGTGTATGCGTGATCTGTATCTAGTTATATCGTGTATGCGTGATATGTATCCAGTTGTATAATGTATGTGTGATCTGTATTCGGTTATATCGTGTATGCGTGATCTGTATCCAGTTATATCGTGTATGCGTGATCTGTATCCAGTTATATCGTGTATGTGTGATATGTTTCTAGTTAGATAATGCATGTGTGATATGTATCCAGTTACATAATGTATGCGTGATATGTATCCAGTTGTATAATGTATGTGTGATATGTATTCAGTTATATCGTGTATGCGTGATCTGTATCCAGTTAAACCGTGTATGCGTGATATGTATCCAGTTATATAATGTATGTGTTATATGTATCCAGTTAGATAATGCATGTGTGATATGTATCCAGTTACATAATGTATGTGTGATATGTATCCAGTTGTATAATGTATGCGTGATCTGTATCCAGTTATATCGTGTATGCGTGATCTGTATCTAGTTATATCGTGTATGCGTGATCTGTATCCAGTTATATCGTGTATGCGTGATCTGTATCCAGTTATATCGTGTATGCGTGATCTGTATCCAGTTATATCGTGTATGCGTGATCTGTATCCAGTTATATCGTGTATGCGTGATATGTATCCAGTTATATAATGTATGTGTGATATGTATCCAGTTATATAATGTATGCGTGATCTGTATCCAGTTATATCGTGTATGCGTGATCTGTATGCAGTTATATCGTGTATGCGTGATCTGTATCCAGTTATATCGTGTATGCGTGATATGTATCCAGTTATATAATGTATGTGTGATCTGTATCCAGTTATATCGTGTATGCGTGATATATATCCAGTTATATAATGTATGTGTGATATGTATCTAGTTATATCGTGTATGCGTGATCTGTATCCAGTTATATCGTGTATGCGTGATATGTATCCAGTTATATAATGTATGTGTGATATGTATCTAGTTATGTCGTGTATGCGTGATATGTATCCAGTTAAATAATGTATGTGTGATATGTATCTAGTCATATAATGTATGTGGGATATGTATCCAGTTATATAATGTATGTGTGATCTGTATTCGGTTATATCGTGTATGCGTGATCTGTATCCAGTTATATCGTGTATGCGTGATATGTATCCAGTTGTATAATGTCTGTGTGATCTGTATTCGGTTATATCGTGTATGCGTGATCTGTATCCAGTTATATCGTGTATGCGTGATATGTATCCAGTTGTATAATGTATGTGTGATCTGTATTCGGTTATATCGTGTATGCGTGATCTGTATCCAGTTATATCGTGTATGCGTGATCTGTATCCAGTTATATCGTGTATGTGTGATATGTTTCTAGTTATATAATGTATGTGTGATATGTATCCAGTTATATCGTGTATGCGTGATATGTATCCAGTTATATAATGTATGTGTGATATGTATCCAGTTATATAATGTATGTGTGATCTGTATCTAGTTATATCGCGTATGCGTGATCTGTATCCAGTTATATCGTGTATGTGTGATCTGTATCCAGTTATATCGTGTATGCGTGATCTGTATCCAGTTATATCGTGTATGCGTGATCTGTATCCAGTTATATAATGTATGTGTGATCTGTATCCAGTTATATCGTGTATGCGTGATCTGTATCCAGTTATATCGTGTATGCGTGATATGTATCCAGTTGTATAATGTATGTGTGATCTGTATTCGGTTATATCGTGTATGCGTGATCTGTATCCAGTTATATCGTGTATGCGTGATCTGTATCCAGTTATATCGTGTATGTGTGATATGTTTCTAGTTAGATAATGCATGTGTGATATGTATCCAGTTACATAATGTATGCGTGATATGTATCCAGTTGTATAATGTATGTGTGATATGTATTCGGTTATATCGTGTATGCGTGATCTGTATCCAGTTAAACCGTGTATGCGTGATATGTATCCAGTTATATAATGTATGTGTTATATGTATCCAGTTAGATAATGCATGTGTGATATGTATCCAGTTACATAATGTATGTGTGATATGTATCCAGTTGTATAATGTATGCGTGATCTGTATCCAGTTATATCGTGTATGCATGATCTGTATCTAGTTATATCGTGTATGCGTGATCTGTATCCAGTTATATCGT